TCGGGTTCGTGATAAGCCGAATAATTGAGAAACAGTGTTTTCCAGAATAATAATGTACAATATATTTAAATACTAGGCTGACGATAATTACAATATAGATACCAAACAATACGTGTCGACGCCGTTGGTTTTGGTTGTTTGTGTCACCTGACAGAGGCTTGTTTAGACGCCGGTTTGCGTGATGTGACGCGCGGTGCGCGGGACGCGGGCGACGTCAGTGTCGCGTATTCGCGAGTTTATTTTGTTGACGTTTCTTTCGGCGTCTTGTCTCTTTAAGCGCGGTTGACAACTTCTTACAGCGATTTTAGCTGCGCTTCGGAATCGTACAATATCCACGATCGTTGAGACTGCAGCGTAGCTGCACGCGGGGTATTGCCTTAGCGGCGATCCCTTTGATCTCCTATCGCAGAGATTTGATTCGTTTCGGTGTATGCGATGCGTCCTTCGGTTCTCGTACACGGGACCTTAGCTTTCGGAGTTTCCTTTATGATTGAACGAGTTCGGCTCATTCGGACACGATTTCGGATGCGGTCAATGGTGCCGCGGACCTTATCAATGTCGGCGTCACGAATCCGTGAGCCGATAGCGGAGTGATTACAGTCGCCAATCGACGAGCAGTAACCTGCCAGGAACGGAGTAGACGCGAATGTCGATGACACGTATCCGTGTAACGACGGCGAAGTGATTACAGTCGCCAATCGACGAACAGTAATCTGCCAGGGGCGGAGTAGAAGCGGTCTCTCTTAGAGCGGATAATCGGAATCGGATTCTCCTTCGGGAGCGGTAGATCGGTTCTGATTCTCTTTCGAGAGCGGACGATTGAATTCTCGCGATTACGATTACGCGGCGTTTTATACTTTTCGAATCTCGCTTGATTCGCTATTTACCGCGGTTGTTCGGCGGTCGCGCTGTTTACCATTTTGGAGGATGCGCTGTCCTCTTGTGCTTTTGATTTGCGATGTTTTGCGTTCCTTTGTTTTTCGTAACGTAACGACATGCATCGTTACAATGATATTTCTATAAGGGAATCATATAGTTGTTTTAATACAAACTGATATTTTTATTCATTTTGCATATAAAAATACTAGAGTAAAATAACCGAGAAATATTCACTTGAAATGACTGAAATATTGACTATAAACGAAGTTAAAGTCATCAATTTATGCTCCCCTTGAAGCCCTATACAATTTTTATTTGAAACATTTTTTTTAATATATTTTTTTATATATTATATTTTTTAGAATGGAATACTCTATCTGCATATATCTTGAATTACTTACTTTTAATGCCTAGCATAGTGTGCGTGTCGGAAATTTTAAAATTATTTTTTTGCCTTGTCCATGAACACATGGAGGCTAAGTCATTAGAAAACATGGCACTCAAGCTTCTTCTAATAAAATCCTTTTCATCTTTTCCTCCAATTAATAAGACCTTATTAATTAATTGACCTGAAAAACTTTGTTCCTGTAATGCTATACAATTATTTTGATTTTATTGTACATTCTATACCCTTACGAAAAACTATTATAAGGAAACTATTGGAAAACTACTGATTAATGAAAATACTACTGTTTCAACTATTAAAAAATTATATCAAAACTGTTTATAAAATTAGTGAATAAGTTTATTAATAATGCTATAATAATTACGCAATAGTTTTTCAATACTTTTCAATAATATTTCAACAGTTTTCTTATACTATTCTCAATAGTTTTTTCATTAATATTTTTCCGTAAGGATACTTACTACAATGAAGCAACTATTCACGGGAAACGTTATTTATAGATGTATATAGATATTTATATAGATGTTAATGGTATCAATTGTAATTGATAAGTAGCTTTACTTACGACTTGCATAAAAGCTTTTTGGTCATTTTTTAGGATATCCTCAAAAGTTAGGAAAGTATCAATAGAAACCAAGGGTATGTTTTCCGATCTTAATATCTTGTGTTACGAAGCTTCCTTTATGATATTGTTCGCTGTTTATCTTTGCCAGGATCAAATTGGTGATTTCTTGAACCTGACATAACGATTGCTCCTGCTTTATCTTCATATTTATCACTTGTGTCTCAATATTTGATAATATTGTTCTAAGATTATTCATAAAATGCGTTAAATCAATATTTTTTTTCATTTTCAAAAACTACTGGTGTATCATTGACGTTTCTGTTATGCTATTTCCTATAAAAGTTAAAAGAAATAAATGAATAAAATTTACACGTTTTCATAATTTAAAAATATTTCTTAATTACCATTATCATCAGATACAACATTTATTCCAGAATTTTCATTGTTCTTTTCTAATATGCCTGAAAATAAATATATTTTACGTAAAAAGTATTCTTATACTTAGATTTGTCTACAATTTCTCTAAAAATATTAATATAAATTGACATCACAGATTTTATTAATCATACATGTTTTGAATTATGTATTAATCATACATGTTTTGAATTATGTATTAATCATACATGTTTTGAACTTTTTTTACTGCTATCTTATACGTTTATGTAAGGTCACATTATATAGTTATTGTTACGTAAATTAGTATTTACTTTAAGTAAAATTTAATCAGAACTCCATTCAAGAAATTCGAAACAAAATACTTGTGCATTTGAAAGAGCTATGTCATTAAATGTGTAATGTCATTAATTGTGTAATGTCATATATATTTAAAACATTAGGGTACAACATTAGTAAACAATACATTTGCATCATCAAGACAATTAAGAAGATACTTAATTCTTAACATAAAAAATGTATATATGGATCATTTGGAAATGCAAATATGGCTGTTATCTGAAGTCAGAGCTAATCTACAACATTTAGATCATCTGAATGATTGATTACAATCATTTTATGAGGCTCCGGAACAGTGACATAATCCTCAAATTTAGTTCGCTTAATTTTCCTTCCGACTTTTGATTCAGATTCAGATTGTGACGAAATTACAGCCTCTTTCTCAGCCTTTAAAGCTGACTCATAATTATCTGAAAATATAAAGAACGATTATTACATTCGTAACACTCATTAAAAACTATGTATATTAGCATTAATATTAATATAACAATTGATATTGCATTAATACATACACATACTGTTAAGTGTTTTTAAAATAAGACATTAACGAAAATATTTGTAATAAATTTTTTATTTATTCAATATTTTACGAATTACGATCCACTTAAATATTTTCTTATAAATGTCGTAGGCAATTAAAATAATGACTCTTATAATCTTCGTAATCTATCTTCACAATCTATCTTTACAATTATTTTACAAGATGTTTCATTTTAAACCCCTAGGCAAAAATCTCAAAAAATATGGAAGATACGGAAAAATATTTCAGACAAAAGTTATATGGTTTGATGGGGGACGTAAGACGGTACCAATGATTTGACCTTGCGTGGCACCGCCAAGGTTAGATCAACTTTGCTTTTTTAAATAGAAATATATATTTTTTTATTATGGAATTTTATTCTATCTAAAGAAACAAACTTTTATTTGAAAAAAATTTTTATACGATTTCTATTTTCTAAGATATTTACGTAAATATCTAAAAATTATTGATTTTAATAATTTTTTATTCGAATTCTATCAACTTTACCGAAAAATAGCGAGAGATAAAAATTACTTATTTTCTTCTCATAGAACTTAGAGAATTTTTCCAGAAAATTTTAATTAACTTTTTAGTATTTCAAGAAAATGCATAAAATGTAGTATTAAAAAGTTAATTAAAAAATTCTGGAAAAATTTCAGAACTCTATGAAAAAAAAATAGATAATTTTTATCTCTTGCTATTTTTCGATAAAGTTGATAGAATTCGAGTAAAAAAATAAAATTGAAACCAATAATTCTGTAGATATTTCCGTAAATATCTTAGAAAATAGAAATCGTATAAAAATTTTTTTTAAATAAAAATTGTTTGCTTCTTTACGTAGAATAAACTCCCGTAATAAAAAAATAAAAATAAAAATAAAATAAAATAAAAATAAAAATAAAAATAAAATGTTTTTATTTAAAAAAGCAAAGTTGATCTTGACCTGACCTTGGCGGCGCCACGCAAAGTCAAATCATTGATACAGTCTTGCTTTCCCTCCGTGCCGCCACCTTAGCGTGGTGGAGGGGTACCGGCGATCCGTACCGACGTACCTCCCACCAGGCGGCCGGCCGCAAAAGGTCGACCGGGGCGGCTAATCCGGGCTCCTCCTCAGAAGAGGAGGTAGCCCGGAAGAACAAAAGAAGGGGTGGGGTAATGCGTCTACTAAGGTCCCCCTCCCCCGGGGGACAGTGCGTCCCGATGGAAGTGGGGGCGGATGACGGGCACGAGGAGTCGCGGTCCGGCCCCCTCCGCGAAACAAATGAGGAGAGGGAGAGAGGGAGACTGCTGAGGGAGAAGGTGGACAGGGACCGGAAGGACGGTTATGTCCCTCCAGCCTACAGACCCTTCTTCGGAGAAAGGACCATTCCCCTCCCTGACCAGTGGGAGCAGGCAGAAACGGCCAAGGCCACCAGGGGCAGAGGTGGCCGCGTGGAGACGCGGGGGCTGGGACAAGCATCACGCCAGGTACAGTCCCAGCCCAAGCAGGGGCAGTGACTCGGCAGCTTCAACAAAAGCGACAACGGGAGGAGGAGCCGCAGCGGCGACAACAGCTGCAGAAACGGCGGCCTCCCCCCCTCTCGTTGAGGGTGTTGGGACGCGCTTGAAAATCGGGGAGGAGGAGAGTATGGCCCTCGAGCTGCTGCTCGAGACGGCCATTCCCCGGGTCCTGGCGCGTCTCGGTTTCCTCCCTCAGGGGTGGCGCGGGGCGGAAGTGTGGCCCCAAGCGCAGGTGTCCCTAGAGGAGGGAAGAAGAGGAGATGCCCCACCGGCCGGAGTGTCGGTGTCCGGCGAGGGTGGGGTTGCGAGAAGAAAGAAGGAAGAGAAAGAAAAAGAAAAAGAAAGGCAGAAGTGGTGAGGATGAAGGGGAGAGGCGAGTGTTGCCCCCCCCCCCATGGACCCCTCGGGTATTACATCGGGTATCCGGGGCCACCGCGGGATCTCGCTGACGCCCTGCTGTGAACAGTCTTTGCTCCCACCGTCGAGGACTCGTGGGCCACGGTGGTGAAGAGAAAGAGGGAGAGAGGGGGAGGGCAGAAAAGGCCCATCCTGGCAGCCTCCCAGATGGCTCCGGGGAGCGCGCGGCGGCAGCAGCCGGCGCCGGCCCGGGACACAAGCGGAAAAGGGAGAAAAGGTGATCGG